AGTTGCATGCAGAATGCTACTGGATAAGATAGGGTTGAAGGGTTATGAAGTAAGTCACTGGTAATTGCATTATGTAATGGCTCTTTTTATGACCAATTTATCCATCACGCTGCCACTTGCAGTTAGGGAAAACAAAAGTATTCCTTAGAGCTGGGCAGATGGCTGAGTTGGATGCAAGAAGAGCCGAGGTTCTTGGAAATGCCGCTAGGAGAATCCAAAGGCAAAGCCGTACTTTTATTGCTCGTAAAGAGTTCCGTGCTCTACGTGGAGCTGCTATCGTATTGCAGTCCAATTGCCGAGGTATCTTCTGTCCTTGTCAAAATAAAAAAATTTCTCTTCTCTTGCTTCTCTGTGTAGCCATGACATTAGTGGCTTGTTGTGGTCCCTTTTTTATTTGTATTCCGTAGCAAATATGAAATATAGTTAGTGTCCATGTGTTCTTTATTTTGTGTGGATTGTACTACTTGTGGAGGATTAGTGATTTCTGAAACCTTTTTATTGAATGCAAGGCAAATTGGCATGCAACCTTTATGAGGAAATGCGACGCCAAGCAGCAGCGGTGCAGATTCAGAAGAGTTTCAGAAGACATATTGCGAGAGAATCTTATTTGAGAATTAGACATTCAGCAATAGCAGTTCAAACAGCACTAAGGGGAATGGTTGCTCGCAATGAGTTCAGATACAGAAAGCAAATGAAGGCTGCTACTATTATTCAGGTCATTGATAAGAAGCCTCTTTGGATTATTCTTTTTTACTTAACTGACAAAATGTTCCTCTTGCCTCATCAATCTGATGATTCCTCGTTTATTTTTAGGCTCGTCTTCGTAGTCATCTGGCACATTCTTACTACAAGAAACTCCAGAAAGCTGCCCTTTCTACGCAATGTGGCTGGAGGAGCAGAGTTGCACGAAAAGAATTAAGGACACTCAAAATGGTTCAGTCTCTTTTTCTCTTTTTGTATTGAAACATATCTTAAGTTGAAGCGATCGGATTCTTAATTTAAAATTAATTGAACTAGGCTGCAAGAGACACAGGAGCCCTAAGAGAGGCGAAGGACAAACTTGAGAAGCGTGTTGAAGAATTAACATGGCGTTTACAACTAGAAAAGCGACAGAGAGTAAGCTTTCATTTCCATACATTGGCATGATACCATCCTTCAGTTACACTGTTACTGACAATTCCATGGTCATATAGACTGAGCTGGAAGAAGCAAAAGCCCAAGAATATGCAAAACAACAGGAGGCTCTGCAAGCAATGCGGTTGCAAGTTGAAGAGGCAAACGCTGCTGTGATCAGGGAACGAGAGGCAGCAAGGAAAGCTATTGAAGAAGCACCTCCGGTCATTAAGGAGACTCCGGTATTGGTTGAAGATACTGAGAAAATCAATTCATTAACATCAGAGGTGGAGGCTCTAAAGGTATGTGTTCTTAACTTACTATATGATCCTTCATATGTTCACAACTAAATTTAGTTTAAATCATATTTTTTGTTTACAGGCTTCGCTTGAGTCTGAAAGACAAGCTGCAGAAAACTTGAGAAAAGCTTTCTCAGAGGCAGAGGCTAGAAACTCTGAGCTGGCCACAGAGCTTGAAAATGCTTCGAGAAAAGCAGATCAGCTTCATGAATCGGTACAAAGGTTCGTAAAAATATATCAATGAAGGATAAAAAGAGAGAGTACATAATCATTCTAGTTTCTCACATTTGTTGAACTTGTCAATATACATTTTACTATTTCGTTTTCTTACAAGTCAGATACTAATAATTTATAACTGTGTTTCTTCTGTTCTGGACTTTTACATATTGAGTTTGCTTCTGCTTTCAGACTAGAAGAGAAGCTTTCCAATTCAGAGTCAGAGATTCAAGTTCTTCGTCAACAGGCACTTGCTATATCTCCAACCAGCAGAGCTACGCCCATGCGATCAAGAACAATGCTTTTACCGGTGCCAACAACATATTAATTATTTTTCTTCTCTACATATTAATACAATAAGGCCTATTTATTCATGTAATCTTCTCTTCTTCATGTTCAGCGAACGCCAGATAATGGAAGTCTTCTAAATGGAGAAACCAAGACTACACCGGTAAGAGGCAAATGTTTTTTTTCTTGATTAAATTTTACCATTCAAAAGGACACCATCATATTCTTGTTTCTTTAATTGCTTACCGGTCTATGAATGTCACAGGACATGGCTCTTGCTGTAAGGGAACCAGAGTCTGAGGAGAAACCACAGAAGTATCTGAATGAAAAGCAGCAGGTAACTACTCTGCTTGTATCACATACAATGATTTTCTTGTGCTAATTAGAACGGTGAGACCTCATTTTTTGCAGTATTGCACTCTGCTTTTCTCTTAATATATGGTATAATCTTTGCGTTATTCAGGAAAACCAAGATCTACTAGTCAAGTGTATCTCACAAAACCTTGGTTATGCTGGAGGCAAGCCTGTTGCTGCATGTGTCATATACAAATGTCTTCTTCAGTGGAGATCATTTGAAGTCGAAAGAACTAGTGTCTTTGACCGTATCATTCAAACAATAGCTTCAGCCATTGAAGTAAGTTGACTCTTCCTAGCTTTTCTGCACTCCATAACGTTTATTATTTTCTGATTACATGGAAAATGTTGTCTTCCATTACAGGTACCAGATAACAACGAGGTTTTGGCGTATTGGTTATCTAACTCAGCCACGCTATTATTGCTTTTGCAACGCACACTCAAAGCAACTGGAGCAGCTAGTTTAACACCACAGAGACGAAGAACATCATCAGCATCCCTATTTGGAAGGATGTCACAAGTAAGAAGCTTAAGATCTGTTTTCTTTTTCCGAATTTTCTCTTTTAACTGCCTTGGTGTGGAGCCTCAGTTCATCTTGTGTGCCGTATTAACATTCTAAATAGGGAATAAGGGCGTCTCCTCAAAGTGCTGGACACTCTTTTCTGAATAGACAAGGGCTCACCAAGCTTGACGACCTGAGGCAAGTTGAAGCAAAGTACCCGGCACTACTTTTCAAGCAGCAGCTTACTGCATTCCTCGAGAAGATATATGGAATGATCAGAGATAATCTGAAGAAAGAGATCTCTCCTCTACTTGGGTTGTGTATACAGGTAATCTCATTGTGAAGGTTGATATGCTGATACTTTTTAGCTTAACTTTCATCTGATAATTGATCAAGTGTAAGTGCATGTTTACATGATACAGGCACCAAGGACATCAAGGGCAAGTTTGGTGAAAGGGAGAGCACAAGCAAATGCTGTTGCTCAACAAGCTCTGATTGCACATTGGCAAAGTATTAGGAAGAGCCTAAACAGTTACTTGAATCTAATGAAAGCGAACAACGTGAGTATTTACTTCCATAAGAAATAACAAAAGGACAACTTAATTTAATTTTTTGAAATGTTGTTTATATTCTATGTTTACATGATACAGGCTCCACCTTTCGTAGTCCGCAAAGTATTCACACAAATATTCTCCTTCATCAATGTTCAGCTTTTCAACAGGCATGTTTCACTTGGCATTCTCTCCTTTCGTTTTCTCTCAAACCAGATTTCTCTTGATTGACAAAAAAAAATCTCTGTAATGAAATTGTGCAGTCTTCTTCTACGTCGTGAGTGTTGCTCATTCAGCAACGGTGAGTACGTTAAAGCAGGCTTAGCTGAATTAGAGCAGTGGTGTGGTGAGGCTACTGATGAAGTAAGCCATGATTTCTTCACGCTTTGTCTCTTAATATTTCTTAAAACATTTCACACCTTTTTGAGTTTTTTTGATTAAATTGTTTCTATCTTATTACAGTATGCTGGCTCTGCTTGGGATGAGTTGAGGCATATCAGGCAGGCAGTTGGTTTCCTGGTATAATCTCAACCGATGCTTTTCCACATTTTTTATGCTTTCATTTACATTGTTTGCTTATGTGTGGATCTCTGTTCAGGTCATTCATCAAAAGCCGAAGAAGACCTTAGAAGAAGTAACAAGAGACCTCTGTCCGGTATTACTCTCTTCTATTCTGTAAAAATCCATTTTCTTTTTTTTTCCGGCATGAGCTTAACATTGAAGTTGCTGTTCTGGTTCAGGTGCTAAGTATACAGCAGCTATACAGAATCAGCACAATGTACTGGGATGACAAATATGGCACTCATAGTGTTTCTTCAGATGTATGTTTCACTAGTAAATAACTAAGCTTTCTTTTTTTCTTAGACATTGGTAATAATTGTGTTCTTTCCAAAAAACCATAGGTTATTGCAAACATGAGGGTTATGATGACCGAGGACTCAAACAATGCCGTAAGCAGCTCTTTCCTTTTGGACGATGACTCGAGGTAAAACCGAAAATTCTTCGTGTTCAAACTCTGTTGTACCCTTTCCCACTTCTCAACTTATTCATTAAACCAATGAAAACGCAGCATTCCATTCACGGTGGAAGACATATCAAAGTCAATGCAACAAGTGGATGTGAATGACATTGAACCTCCTCAACTGATCCGTGAAAACTCAGGTTTCGGATTCTTACTCACACGTAAAGAAGGCAGTGTGTCATAAGTTGTCCTCAGGGAGATTGGTATGCTCCAACCAAATACGATTTGTTTTTGCTGCATATACATAAGTACATCGTCTGAGCCATTGCATTTCTGTGGGCATTTGTGTATATCATTTTCCTTCTCTTATTTGGAGCTATGTCTCTGGCCTTTGTATTTGTGGAAAGGCCGAGTTTTTTTTATTCTTTGCATCCCTGTAGTTATGGCAACTCACAGGGGTTATTTGTTTTGTCATAGAAAGGCTTAGTGTGTGTTGATGCTGTCCTCTCCACAAAGGCGAGGATAGTATTTTTTGTTTTAGTCAATCATGTATTTGTTTGTAATGAAGAAACTAGACTTTGTTTCACCATTCTCATATATATAGGTTGATAGAATTTATTAATTGAGAATTGGAAAACATCACAAGATATTTTAATGTTAATGTTACATCAACTCCTTTTAAATATAGTATTTTTAGATAGATATCTCAACATTTGCTATGGGTTCAGAATCTTTTCCACGAGGTCTTTAAGAGGAGCCAACTCTGCTTCATTGATCAACTGGTACTCCTGCATGTTACAAAAAAAGTGGCTCATCTTAGTTATACAATAATTATTAGAACATTCCCCAAAAAAAATCACTATGTTGCAGAGAAGATTCATCAACTCACAGATATGAAGAGAACAAAATGCTTGAAGCAAGTGTTGAGATGAGCTTCTTCCTCCAAACCCACAATCTTCTTGAAGTGACAGTGATAGATGTGTGCATAAACACGAAACAACCTCTTCAAAATCAGCTTCACGCAATCCTTAAAGTTTGGTGGGAATGGCACTCCTGAAGAAGGATGAAAAATATAAACAAAGTGTTCTAATGAAAGACGTTTTAACACTAAGAGTTTAGCTTCACGGCTACCATGGTTTTGGGGAAAGATGGCTTCGTTATCGATCTGAGATTCAGTCCAGTTCATGAGATATTCAACGTACTCAGGAGCAGAAACTTTTATTGGTTTCTTTATAGTAATTCCATCTGCCCATCTATACTCATATCTGCAACCAAAGGAAGAAGAAAATGACCAAAGTTTAATGATTAACTTAGGTTTAGATTGATGGATGAGAGTCAAAGAACGAAGGAGTGAGTTACAAGGATCCAGCATTCATGATTGGGCAAGTTGTGGGTGTGCAGAATTCTTCAAGAGTACGGTACAGAATGTTTATTTGGTTGTAGAAATCTATGGCTGATAGCAAACCAAAATATACAAAGTTAAAATTAAGAAGTAGGGATAAAAAGTATGTTAGGGGTTATAATGGCTGTGTCTTAACTGTTAATGGCAAACCACTCGTTAATGTCTTCACCAGGAGGTAGTTTCACAGCTTCTCTGAGGATGCCACTTCCAAGAGTGGTTGTGATGAACTTTTCAAGGTGAGAACCCTAAATTTCATTTAGAATAATTTAAATTAGTACGTAAGAATAACATAAACCAGATGATATATGTGATAACCAATGCACTGACCTTGCTCCCAGATGATGGATGAGTCTTCCTCTTCTTTGGTTGAAATGTCTTCCCCTGATTTACACTGTAAGACAGCAAAAATATGATCCATCCTCATGTTAGAGGCTAGAGAGTTCTAGTAAGGTTATGCTTTAGTCTCAATCAACTGTTTGGAAGTATAACAGTAATCTAGTTTATGGATTTATAACCCATACATTTCTAATCAATTGGGGTTGTTCACACTAGTTTGAAGGTAAACACAACACTAGAGAAGTATCAGGCTTTGTATTGGTCCTAACAGCAAGCTTTACAAACTGTAATTACACTTTGAGACACAAAATCACTTGCACTAGTACAAAATCAAAAAGAATGTAAAAGAAGGATATACAAGTTGTGACATACCTACTAGGTAATCCCATTAAATTCATGGCTACAGTGAGAGAGTGCTTTAAAAAATTGTCCGAAAGGCTAGGTTAATTTAAAAACCAATTAAATAATGGATTCAGAACGTCTGAAAGAGACGATATTTATTCTCAAACACACATAATTCTGGAGTTTTTCTTTTTTCAAACCGCGGGGATCAGTACCAATTATTTTTAATACATTGTAGCCACACTTAAGTGAGTGTTAAAATTATATTCCTTATTAACATATTACATGCAAAAATAATCTCTGGAAAGATTTATATATATTCAACAAATTTACAGCATAAACATGACCAAAATATAAATGTTTCCAACAGTGGATTCATACACAATACAAAAAATAAATAAATCTGCCAACTCACATCATGTAATTTTAATTTATTCAGAAAGAAAAAATGTCCTAAACAAAAGAAAATATAATTCTTTTCACCTGATTTCTTTAGCATGCCAGCTGTAATCATGTATTAGGTTTATAAGGAATCTAATTTTTAACAATCACTTACAGAAAGTCAGGAAATATACAGAAAGCAAGAAAATGTGTTAATATATTGTTGTTCTTTTCAAAGGAAACTTTTTCTATGCTAATCACTAGTCACCTATAAATTTAGAAACAGAGGGAATATTAAGATTGTGCACCAAAATATTATTCTTGGAAATTTTGTTTCCTGAATATAGTTTTCAGTCTAGAAATGCTAAACCTATTTACTTATTTTCATTTTTAAATAAATTTATGTCTTATTCAATATTTTAATAAATAATATTAAAACTTAATTGAATTATATAATTTATATATATATATATATATATATATATATTTTTTAACAACAATTATATAATTTATATATGCATTTCAGTGAAAGTATATGTATATGTATTTTTCTGAAGTGTATATGTATAAAATGACAAGCAGCAACAAAAAATGATCAAGATCGTCATCATAATGGTGTGAGCTACAAAAAATTTCATAGTATTGAAAATAAAGTTACTACTATATCTCAAAGTGTGATTCATTTTATAGTCATGAATCTTTGCTTCATTTTGTTATAAAACAATACATTCGACTTAATCAACAAAAAAAATTACTATTACAAAATTGAAAGTATAAAAGAGAGCAAGCAGGCGACATGTTAACATAAGATAACATAAGACATCAAACTAAACTGGCAAAGGAAGAGGTAAGAGTGTAAGCAACATTAGCAAGAGGACCTCGTTGCTCCGAGAGCTCATCAATGTCTTTGACAATGTCAAAGACTGCCTCAGGCTGAGCTAGCTTACCTGCATTATCTGAAGTTTGTTCCAGCTCATCTGTTTTTGTGCTGAACCATTCACCAACTATTCTCGCTGTCTCTTTGGGACTTCTCGTGAACACTCCTGCACCACTCTCCACTACATATGGTACATTCCCTTTCTCCTATTTGGTTTCAAGTCTAACTGATATAAGAATCTATATACATATATATTACTTGTTACACCATTATATATTAATCTCAACCAACCTGTCCAGGAATGTAGTCGTTGAGGATGATGGGAAGTGATCGAATAAGCGATTCAGCTATTGTTCCCGGTCCAGCCTACAAGTAATATGAGTCTTAGGACACTGAAAATTTTGGTGAATATGAGATTGTTATGTGCCTCTTACTTTTGTGATGATGCAGTCACAAGCTCCCATCCATTTCTCCATTTGAGTCTCGAATCCTCTAACCTGTAAATGTCAATCATATATCCCAAGTTGAGTTTTGAAACTTATGAGCCTCTAATAATATGCCTACTACACATGTACCTTAACAGGGATTTTCCAATCAATGGCTTCTAAGGCAGATGCTAGCTTCTTGTTACGTCCACAGATAACAACCATTTGTCCAATGGGCTTCTTGTTGTCTTTGTCATACAATGAATCTTCAAGAGCCTTGGCGGTTTCTTTCACAGGACCCATACCTTCTCCTCCCCCCATCAGTAGAACCGCTCGAAGATCTTGATCCATCTCAAGCTCCTTTCTTAGATCATCCTTCACTAGAACAGCCCTTGCAAAAGATGGCCTCACAGGCAAACCAAACACACGGACTTGAGACTCGTCAAGCCCATCAAACAACGCTCTTTTCGCCACTTCTTGAGACGGGCAATAGCACCGGTTCACCCCTGGATGAAACCTAAAACCATAAGAAGATAAAAGATCAATTTTCTTACATGTAGAGACTATAACAAACCGGCCTATTATTATATTATACCATGTAGGATGACAAGTGTTGAGATCAGTAATAACAGTAACAAAGAGGACTCTCTTTTGTAGCTCTTGCCATTTGAGAACCCACAAGGGAATGTGTTGCATCAGAGGATGAACACTGATGATAATCTCTGGCTTGTACTCCATTAAACCGGCCTCTACTTCCTTGGCGTAGTACGCTGCAATGGCTGCTAGATAGCAAGAGTGGACCCATTTGGGAGATGTGGTGTGGAATGCAACTTTCCATAGCTGAACATGCTTTACCATGAACTTATATGAACTCTCCATATCATTCAATGGCCACCCTGTGTATTCCTTCCACACATCTTTCACTATGACCTATCAAAACCCCCCACCAACAAAAACATATATCAATTTGTCTATTATATTTGCAAACATAACCGGTTCTGAGATTTTTGTAGCTTGAAAATGATTATATACTAAATATTTCCTCTAATTCATATTAAGTGTTGTTTTAGAAAAAAAATTCGTTATAAAATAAGTGTAATCGTCGAGTTTTAATGCAAAATTTATTAATTTTATTATGTAATTTGTTTTTCTATTGGTTAAAATATGATTAGTTGTATAGCTAATTATGTTCAAAAATATTATTTTGATCAAGTTAATGACCTAATGATCTATATATATTAGTCAATTTGGGACCTATACGAATGTTTCATCTCGCTATATCCAAGATTGACCAGTTAAGACATTTTTTTATTACCCTGTATTTGTCTCCATATTGGATCTTGAAAGCATCACGAATGGCTTCAGCAGAGGCACGGTGACCACCTCCAGTGTCGCTCATGAGGATCAAAACGTTCTTGGTCCTCTGTGCACCGAGCGGGAGGAGCTCCATTGCTGATTCATCCTCGTCGCTGTAACAAATATCATCGTCTCCGTCATCGTAAGAATGCTTGTAAACGTGGTGATGGGTATGACGCTGAGTCTTTTCACGGTCGTCTCCAATGCTTGCTACGGAGAGGGTGGATTTGGAGCTTCCGTAGATTCCTTCTAGCACTTTCTCTGCTATGGACATAACCGTCGTCGTCATCATTTTATGAGATGAGTCTCTGAGTTATGTGTGAGAAACTAAATGAAAACTTTGTCTCCTTCTCACGGCTGTTGATCACCGGAGAAGGGGAGATTTAGGAGGAGGAGAGAGGGAGAGAGAAAGAACGAGGGAGAGGAGAAGTATTGATGTGTAGGAGAGAAAGCTGGGAAGAAGAAAACAGAGGAGTGGTTGGTGGAAATGGTGACATTATTACAACCGTTGGAATCACTGTCTTTTTTTGGAATGTTCGGTTTTCAAAGATTCGAATATCCAACCTGGAATATAGCTACAATTTTTAATTCATGTAAGAAAATAAAACATTACAAACAATCTAATTTAAACCATTTTTATTGGCTCACATGACAACAGTATAGATACTCTCCTTTTCTCTGTTCGTCACCATTTAAAGACTCCACGGTGAGAGAGCCACACAAAGCTTTATATTGCTCCACCGTGTCCTCCTCTCTTCCTCTTCTTCCTCCTCTCTCTGACACCAACAATGGCGAGACTTACCTTGAGACCAGACAACCATTTCTTCTCTTCTCCTCGACTCGACTCATTCATGGACTGTAAGTTGCTAACATTACCTCCAATGATGATGATTTTCACTACCTTTATTTATGCAAAGTTGTTGTTGGTTTTGTTGTGGTAGATGTTTCTATTTGCGCCATCAATATTCATCTACTTGACGGGGACGGTTGTCGCATTTGCAAGTAGTAAGCCTCAGAAGTTTACAAAGGATCATCATGACTCTTAAGTTTTGGTTTCTTCTCATTCTTGTGGCAAAAGAAACAAATATTTGACTTTGGTTATGTATAGGTAAACCAGAGAGCAGTGGTAGTTTTGTTCACTAGCTCAGTATTTATGCCTTATGGTAAAGCGTATGGCTATAAAATGGTAAATTTGGAAATTCGGTTAAAGTTGGTTAGGGGATTATTTTAGATTTGTCCCGGTTTAATCGGTTGTCATCACCAATTAAAAATTTCAAATGTATAGTATGTTTTTCTTTGTAACAAGATAAATAACAATGACAAAGTCGCTATTTGAAGATAAAGTTAATACATTTATAGATAAATATTTCATTTTTTAAAAGATTATCTTTTGTCTTTCGTGTATCCTAAAATCTTTAGAGATAGGGTGAACCAGCCAAATCGCGAAAAAATCTCACGAAGCAACAATTCAAAATATGAATTAAAATATTTTCGGGTTACAAGAAAATTAATTGGAATTCAATTCCATCTCTGGCTCAGAGTAAGACAAATACTACGGTTTGACACCGGTTCTCTCTAATCCAATCCGGTACGTATTCTGGTTTGATTAACTGCTTAATTAATATACACTCTAAAATTACAATATTAACCGCGCGTAACCGCCATAAATAAAGGGACGACGAATCAAACGGAATCGGTGAATCTTTCAACAGAACGGTTTTTAATTAAACACCAAAAACGCATCTCCCTCTCTCTCTCTAAAACTGCAGTGATGGCGGCTACTGGAAGAAGATCAAACGGCTCATCATCAATTCTCTACCCTCTCTCCTCTCCCCATCACCATCACCGTCATCAAAGATCCGCGTCTCCTTGCAACAACATCAACCTCCGTTTAAAGACCTTCTCTCTCGGAAACAACAACCCTAACCCTAAGCGAAAGTGTTCGTGCTCTCCCACGACGCACCCTGGATCCTTCCGCTGCGGTTTTCACCGCCGGTTAGAAAACGACAAGATCAAAACCCTAGCGAAGCGTGGTAACACGACGAAGAGTGGTGGTGGTGGTGGTGGTGGTTTGTATCTGAGGAAATTGGCTTTGGCGAATTCGCTAAAGAGGTTCGGGAGCGTGGAGGCGGAGAGGTTTAGGAGACACTTGACGGAGAGTATTGTTAAACCGTCGCGTCTTTTTGTCCGTCGTCGTTTTGAGTGCAGGCCACGAGTTAGCCGGTTCCACGTGATGCATAATAAAGATCCGAAAGATTAGATTAAAAATAGTTTTTTAATGTTTCTTGCGTGTGAAGGAACTATGTTTTGGTGTTCCTTGGCGCGGTATATCGAAGTTTATGTGTTAAATGTACATGATGATGATGATGATGACATCACTAGGTAGTTGTTCTTGATTTGGTTTCTTAATTTTTTCATTAGAAATTTTTGTTTAGTCTGAGTCACCATCTACATTTACGTTTTTCACTTTTGGTATGTCTGAGTCAGTCTGACTATTAAGTTTCCAATGAGAGAGATACACTAAGTATATGATTCATTAATTGTTTCTTTTCGAGTTTTTTTCTATAATTGATTAGATTTGGAATCGTTTCATTGTCACATACACGTATGATGTGATAAGATTTTGTAGCTTTGTTGAAATTTGAGACTTGAGAAGAGTACAGTAGCGAGTTTACATGCATGACCAACTACTAAGAGCAAAAGTATATTCTTGAATCATGATTAGGTACAGGGACGTAGCTCTCTTGTATTTCGTTGTTACATGTATTAGCTGCAATGCTGTGTGTATGTAACCGATTAATTTATATATGGTTATGATTTGAAAAAGCAATTGCTATCAAACTACTTACGGATTCAAACTTCAATACCTCAACTCAGAAAACATAACGTACAACCACCTCTGTTAGACTACTATCTTCACCAGAAATGGGATGTTATAATACGACTCAGACGAGGAAACACGTGATTCTTACAACACAAATGCACATTTGAAGAACGTTTGGGAGACGACCATATCATGGAGGTACAACCGGTCGAGTTGGGTTCCGGCCAAGACCAAGTCCCAAACCTAAAGGTACACTATCACTCTTTGACTTACTGTTATGGCTATGGCTGCAGTTTGAAGAATGAACATGTGCTGCTGACTGCGAATTATGTATCGGGTTAACATCAATAGCAACGTGGCCATTGCCATTCTGAAGATTTGAACTCCGCTGCATCTGCATCATGCTAATACCCTCTTGTCTCGGTGTTGTGTCTTCTTCTTCATGACACTCAATATCTTCGTTATACCCTTTAATCAAGAAATCCGAGCAGTTTCTTCTGCAACCGAGATCGTATGGATTCCTGAACCGACCTCCTGGACCTCTTAGGTAGCTGTAGCGCAGTGCATTAGCCATTTCGTTTGTGGTTATATTTCTTGATATCTGTAAAGGAAAAAGAGACGGGTCTTAAGAGGAACAAAGACGTGCAAATAAGAAAAAGGAAAGCAGACGAACCTGAGACGCTTGTACGACTGTTAAGACGGCAACTGAAAAGAAGAGGCAGAACTCAATAATCAGAAAGGATAATGCACCCACGTGATTACTAGCGACATGGCTCACCCATGCTCCAAACGAAGATGGAGCTGAAGGGTCACTCAAGACTCCTGCATATTGTATAATACGTTTACATTTCTGTCTGAAAAGTTTTACATATCAGGATAAGCTTTAAAGAGCAGCTTCCACTACAAACGTACTTGCAAGAGTGACGCCACCAGTTATCAGCATCGCTAGAACTTCTAGTAGAAGAAAAAGAAAGAAGTCCCACTTGTTTTTCTGCAAACGTACTAATAGATCAAACCACTAGTAAGCAGAATAAGTCCTATCCTACTTTTTCACTTTATATTTTTCAGTAACTAAAATGGGGCGATGGAACATGAACTTACTTTTCCAACACAGTTTGAAACCCAAGGACAATGGTGGTCAAATTGCTCTACACAACGATCACAGGTTGAACAATGCTTAGCTCGAAGAGGTCTGATAATCTGAACAAAAAGAAACAAAGAGGCACGTTAAGAAATACATTTCATGCTGTGTATAAAAGATTAGTATTTAGTATTAATATTTAAGAAAAACGTAAAAGGGATGTTGAGGAGGTACCTTGCACGTTGCACACAGCTGCGTCCAATTCCCAGCAAGCAAAGCAGGGTTGTTTAGCTCTATCTTCAACAGTGGTTCCTATAAAGGGGTAAATTTTTGTAATGGCATGATAAACAATTATGTCACACAAACTTGAGAACCAATAGAGCTTATGGTACCAACATCATCTTTCATGGTCTGCGGATCATGTCTGTTCATTCTGATGTAACCTGGATCCTTTCTGTAACAAATAAAAAAAAAGATTTCTATTACAAAACGATAAGAAACCACTTCTTCAGATACAAAGGTATTAATTCACAACAGAATCAATAGCTGCAGATAAGTAAAAGTCTTAAAAAGAAACTGAAGTAACATAGGGTGAGAATATACTTGCTACAACGGTACAATAAAGCTAGCCCTGCTGTTGCAAGAAAGAATCCCAGCCACGCAAGCGAACCAATCCCAGTTGATAGCTTTGGCAGATTCGATGCTGCAGTGACCAAAGGGGTTCACAAAATAATAAGTAGGCATACTTTGATATGTTGCAACAAAAGAGATCCAAGAAGGCGAAGGTAACAACCCAATATAACAGAATTAGTATATATGAGCAGAAGAAGCAGGATCATGAACCAAAGAACTGGAGCAAGTCCCAACTTTGATAATTTTCCGAGGGGAGTGCTTCCGTCACACCGTTTCTCAAGCAACCTTCTAGCGTTACCCTGCAGTGAAGTGTTTACCAGACAAAATATTTATACAGAATATTTGAATAACTTTCTTAGTATTCCAATCATGATGTTATTCATTTTGATTATAAGAAACAGACATGGTGCAGCTACAAACAGTAATTCGCTTCCAGGTATGCAAGGGCCAATAGAATGATTCTAACTACAGTATAATGCTATCAGTGGCAGCCACTAGAAGCATCAAACAGAAAGCATAACTATAAAGTGGTTCACAACACAAAAAGTGGAACGGATACCTACAAGGAAAAACGATACTTGTCGATGATTCTTTTCAGCAGCAAGTTGTGCGGGGGTAAGTCCGGTATTGTCAGTAATCATTAAATCCTCTTTCTTCCCAGCCTGAACCAATACAGTGCAAGCCTCTAAATTACCTCGAATGGCAGCCCAATGCAAAGGAGTGCAACCTGATAACAAAATCGATAGAATAAAGAAAAGATGATATAAATGTATGGTTTTCTAATCTAACTAAATAAATAAAGAGGAGGTCAAAGAAAATTATGTTTGTAAAACCACCTTCTTTGTCCTGCCGTCCTCTATATGCGTCTAAAAATAAAAGAAGGCGAATGGAATCTGCAAAACCTTTATATGCAGCCCTGAATTTCTCAAAACACGACAAGAAAAGAACGATAATTAGAATCGTCTCTTGGATAGTTACTGAAAACAGGAGCTCAGCGTAAGCAAGCTTGAAACCATGCAGCAGTATAAGGCATGCAACAGGAAAGAAACTACGAGAAAAATTAACCAATATTAGTTTAGTTTCTAGATCGAAACAGAAATACATACTTCACAGATCTTAATAACAAAAGAACTCGAGAGCCAGCAAAAATAAATAATTTTAGCGATTAGGAAGGCTTAGAGGAACAACATGCAAACAAACAAAAAGCAATTATCCAGTCTCCAAATGAGCAGGCAGACATATGCATTAACAAGTAAATATGAAAAGAATCAACAATATCAAGAAGGCAAGCTTACCAGTGCAAAGGGCTTCTTCCATCATTATCAGGCACATCAGGATCAGCATTCCACTTTGAGACGACGTGGCAAAGAAAAGCAGTCTGGCCATACTGTGCCGCAACATGTGTTGGCTACAAAGAGTTTAAGATGAATAATAACATGCATCCATCGAGAACTAAACAAGAATAGGAAAATTTGAATAACAGACTTGTTCTCACTGTATGTTTAGAATCTCATATACTGAATAACAGTTTACTGAAGCAAGATTCATCTCCACTAAGAAAGAGAGAGCAGCTAAACCTGATATCCATACATATCCGTAGCATCTACCCTCGCACCCTCTTGTAGCAAGAGCTCAGCAACTTGCACCGCACCACGAACAGCACTCCAATGCAACGCACTCTGTCCAGTATGATCCGTCGCGTTTACATCTCCTCCATGCTGTAACAACCCCCAAAAATCAAAACATCTCAATCATCACAAAAACCACCAAAAAAAAAAAACACAGATTAAACTTTTCGTAACCGTAACCGTAACCTCGATAATGTACTGAGCAACGGCGGTGCGGTTATTCAACGCGGACCACTGAAGAGCGTAGTAGCCAAGGGCATCGGGCTCGGAGACAGAGCAGCCTTCACACTCAACCAATCTATGAAGCTTCTCCAAATCGCCGTAAGCGGATGCGGTGTAGACGTCGTTCTTTAAACTCTCGTCTTCGATCGGTTTGGAGCTTGATTCGCCGTTGGGATTAGATTCTTCGACTTCTTCTTCTTCCACTACCTCGATCTCCGACGACATTTTTTACGAAGATCGATGACGGTTGTGGTGAGTGTGCGTGCGGTGATGATGATTTGAGTTCCGTTGGTTGACCTTGACGAATCGTGATGGTGTTAGGGTTTTTCTGTGGAAATCTGAGGAAGAAGAAATGGTTTGAATCCGAAATCGAGAGAACCGGTTAGAGTCATACCATTTGATTGGGTGGTTTAAATCGGTTTGTTGTTTAAACAACTAAACCGATTTCATATCCAAGCCATTGTTAATTTTTGTAGAATTATATTACTCGAAATAGGTATCAGATCAAATTCCCTATACCCATGAGTTATCCTTTATCTTCTTTGTCAAAGTTATATCTTTTATTGCATTCTAGTTTTAGTTAATCTTAAAAACCAATCAATCACATGATTGCACTTAGATTAAGCTAGTACTTGTATTCTCGGTGCTTTTAAATTCCTCAGAACTGGTTCAACAATCATCTATACTACAACATTTGCCTTATGAGCCTTGAAAACTCTTAACATCAGTATCAGTCAGTTATTTAAGTGGCATTATAAGGAAATGAACTAGACAGAGAAATCTTACCGTTTTATTTCTCTGATGTATTTTATAAAATTTAGTTTTATATAGTTTCGAGTTTGTCCAATTTCAATTTTATATTTAAAGAACAATATTAAACTATTTTTTGTATTAATAGCATCAAGTAATGTTTTATATAGATGTAACCGTACAGTAAAAAATTAATTTTATATGTTTTTTCGAAGTACAAAATCAAATTAAAACTTAATTGTTTGTGTTAAAAAAATAAGTTGAGAGTTTAATTACTTCTAATGTTAATAACTATCCAAAGTTTTTAAAACAATATACAAATTTCTAGAATTGTTGGCCTTAACCTTTATTTTAAAGGTTAGGTCAATTTGAATTTAACTTTGGGATGGAAAATTTTATAAATAACTTAACAGATATTTTGATAATTTGAATGAATTTATGTATTTAAAATATCTTTGCATTTAAATCAGTATTTTTAAATTTAACTCGAACCGCGGTAGACCGGTCATCCGATAATTCAATTTTGATTTTTTAAAATATCTATATTTTAAAGTTACTAAAACCCGAGACTAAGCGATTGAACCGATGGATAACTCATATATAATACTTAAATCTGTAAAAATAAGTTTTTTCGTTGTTTTATATATTATTTGAATTTTTAAATTTATCTAATAATTTGGAAAAAAATTGTGAGAAAATATTTAAAAGGGTGAAATTTAATATTTTGTATTGTTTAGACATAAGATTAGTTATAATGTTGTTTGGAAATATGGATAGTAGTGTTAAGAAATGCGTATATAGCTTTGAAACATGGATAATAGTATAAAGAAATAAATATATTGTTTGAAAATATGAATAATAGTATAAAGAAAGGAACATTAGTAATTTAGTGTATATTTAACTATAAAATATAAATATAATTTAATTTAAAAACTTATAAAATAAATGTTAGATCCAATCTAATGTTTCTTATCTAATAAGATATATATCAATGAATCAGTGTGAAGATAAGTTGTATGAAAAAGGTGATCAAAGGAAAGATAATCTGATAAAAGTAGGAAAGAAATAAAACAATGTAAGCATGAAAGTTTTTACTCACAAAATTTAACATGATATTTTTTGTTGTGAAAAGAAAGTTATTAAGGAAAAGTAGAAGTACAAGAATTTAAACTAATTTTGGAAGTTTTCTTTACCGTCCAATGTTAAATATAAATTCGAAGGAAAAATCTTATACAGTGTACATAGATGAAATATTTTTTTGTTAGTCCTTTCTCAAAAAAAAAAATATTTGTTTTTGCTTTTTTTTGGTAAAACGTTAAAATACATAGATGAAAGCTGCAAAACCGAGTTGATCAAGAAAAAAAAGAGATGCAAAACCGATGCATTGTTTTGGACATAGGATGCAATATCAGTCAATCTGCATGATTTTAGTGGTTAATGACTTAATGTATATAGAATATATGATTGTCAAATATCATGTCGAAATAATTTACTAACCATTTTGTCTCCAATTTATAATTGTTCAAAATCTTACAAATTTCAGAGCCCTATGGCAAATTCTGTCTTAGATTGATAGAAAAGGTAGTTTGAAATAGTACACTCTGTTTTTTTTTTTCTTTTATCAAAGCCAGCATATGTTTCTTGTTTTTGACAAAGGGCTAAAGCCAGCTATGTTTCGATACTTGAGATTGCTCTTACATGTAGAGGAAGTGCCATTATAAGGAAATGAATATCAACAAATCAGTTACAGAAGATAAGTTTTTGAAAAGGATAATCAAAGGAAAGATAAACTAATACAGGGATGATTGGTTGGACTATAACTGTAAAAATTTTAATGTAAAATTTAGTCGGTATAATTTTTGGATGTACATGTATCTAATGTAGCTCTAAAAATTAAATAAGAAAATATAGAAAATGGAAAGATATTTCTACATCAATCCTACAACAGTATTCTTTTTCTTTAGAAATTAAGGTTTCTATAACAAATTTCTTATATTTTTGACTTTAACTTTAAAAACTATTTAAAACATAATTCGTGATTTATATAGTTGTAGATAGAAAATAAGGATAAAGTTACCAGTTTAAGCCCAACCAATAAGAAAGAAATAAAACAATGTAAGCATGAAAGGTAACATCTCTCTTGTGATACTAATATTCATACGGATTTTTTTTCATTTCTTTTGTTTGTTCCCATCGGTTCTTCGTAGATGAAGTCTTTACTTGCAAAATTTACATGGTATTTTTGTTTTGAAAAAAAAAATTATTAAGAAAAAGTACAAAAACTGAAACTAGTTTTGGAAGTTTTCATTACCGTCAATGCTAAATATTAATTCCAAGGAAAAAGTCTTATACAATGTACATAGATGAATTATTATTATTTTTTTAATGTTAAGATAAATAGATGAAAGATGTAAAACCGATAATGAATATCAGTCAGTCTGCATGATTTTAGTGGTTAATGACTAATGTATATATATATTATATGATTCTCAAATATCTTTATGAACCATTTTGTCTCCAATTTATAATTGTTCAAAATCTTACAAATTTCAGAGCCGTTGCCATACTCTGTCCTTTTTTTTTCAGAAATGACCTGGCATACTCTGTCTTATAATCGGATTTTTATCAAAGCCAGCTATGTTTACGAGAACTCATCATTGAACTGAAATCAACTGTTTATTTTATAGGGTATTGTTATAATCTTACTATAGTTAAGAAAAAAAACAACTAGAACATTATGATTATAAATTAAATCGGGAAAATCAAATAAACTTTCAAACTCAAAATAGCTTGTAAACGGGTTTCACACCAATAGGATCGTACAATCCAAAATGTTGTTCAGTCCCTGACGGCTTCTGATTCTCATTGAACGTCGCGAATAAAAACCCCTCGACACCAACGTTAGGTCTCTTCGGTGTCCCTTGGCCGCTTACTACATGCTTCACGAAGTTTCCGTTATATGTAGCCGCTATATCCGGTGTGGTCATCTCCCCGTTGCCCGCGGACGGCCACCCGGTCTCAGCCACAACCATAGGTAAGTCTTTCACGCCTTCCTTCTCCATTGCCCACAAGAACGCGTCGAACATTGCATCAAACATGTTAGTGTAGCCCAACGGTCCATCTTGTACCACGACGGCCTCGCTCTTGGAAATGGCATAGTCTAGATGGATGGACACAGGGTCGGATGCGTAAGGGAAGTAAGGGTAGATGTTGACGAGGATTGGTGTATTTGTTTGAGACAAAAACTTTAGAACCGGGGTGAGTTGTTCACGCGCCTGGGGCGTGAACAACCCCGCGGAAGGCGGGTAAGACTCTCCGAGGTTCCCCATGGACACAACAGTTGTTATTGAGATCGGTAGATTCCTCGATTTGACGAGGTTGGTGAGAGATGTCATGACGGGAAGCACTTGAGGACCGATAGGTCCAGGAATGACTTCGTTGCCCACGGTAATGAAAGAGATGTTGACGTCGGTTAAGTAAGGCTCGATGTTGGTTGCGAACCAGGTTTTGACAGCTTCTTCGCTGGCTGCAAGAGGAGCCAAGTCTTGGTCTCTAACGCCTACCGTGACTTGGATATCGCGGTGGCCACGTAAGGCGTTAAGAACCTCGGTGTTTGGGTCGAAGATACGGACTTTGGTAATGCCAATGGATTGGTAAAGGCTGATAACATTGGATGGAGTCGGGAGATTATCTCCGAGTAGGCCGTAGTTCAAGCCAATGTTACTTGATGCGGTGACGAGGCCGTAGTTGCAAAACAGCACAATGCACGAGAGGAAGAACACGAACACTGTCTTGAGAGAGTAGTGCATGATGAAACTTATTTATGTGTGTATATTAGATTGTGTGAAGAACGTCGAAGAGTTTTTTTTTTTTCTTGTTCTTTTTGTTTCTTGCAAATATTGGTTGTTAACGTGCGTTTATATAGATAAATATTGGAGATCTATTTCCAGAGTTATAGGTATTTATTAATAGTTAAAAAAAAAATCAAAAATAATAAAAAGTCAAGTTCTTTTAGATTTGTTTCCACTGTGATCTTAATCGTTGATTCATTTCCAAATTTGGTGCTTCACTTATTAACTAGGTATGTGTTTTGTTTTCTTTGTTTGATTAACTGGATCTTACTACTTATAATAATGAAACTGAAATCTATGTAGTTGAAATTCTGTTAAATATAAAAAAAAATTATCATAAAATAAAGTGAATTGAATATATTATTAACTGATAAACGCACGTATAAATTTGATACATTCATGTACAATATCAAAAATTGATACATTCAATATACATTAAATTGAATACATTTATTAACTGATAAAGCATATATAAATTTGATACATTCATGTCAAAAATTGATACATTCATCAATTAATTCAATTTTATCTAGATAATAAACTAAACATGAATACATGATAACTTTACATATTAGCACAAAATAAAAACTTTCATGTCTTGAACAAATTATCATATTCTTATCCCATTGATAATATATATATATATATATATATATATATACATATATATACTATATATAGAGATACAATATCTTGAAAATAGGTAAATATCAATATACAAGTATATCTAGAATATTCTATAAGATAATATCTATTTTATTAATTAAAAAAATAATCTTATTTTACGTGGCACCTCTCTATGTCTTTTATTTCAATTTAGAAAGATTCTAGAGCACCTCAAATAAAATATAGCTTTAAAACATGATCCATTGGTCTCATATAAAACATAACAAACTAAATCTCCTATATAATTTTTCCTTAAATGAAACCTACAGAATTACTTAATGTGATTAAGATATATATAACTAGCAATGATTTTAAATAATAAAGATTAGTTAACAATATGTATACTTTAAATAGTTTTTATTTTTTATTATTAAAATAAGTTACACAGCTACACTAATCATATAATAAAAATTTAGATTCTTTTTATATATGTTGTATCTTTAAATTTTCAAAACGAATATAAATTACTAAAACTGTTAAAAATCTCACATAAACTTATGTGATCAAGGTCTATTTTTTTTATAATAAGTTACAATGATTATAAAATCATATGAATAAATGATTTTATTTTAATAGGTGTTTATGTTAATAGATATATCTCTCATATCGTATGAATAAATAATATTATTTTAATCATAATTAGAATTTAAAATTTAACTTAATTTTTTTACAAAATTCTTATTTGTTTAAAAAAGGTTCTTAAAAATATAGTTTTCTGATATTATTAGACAAATAAATAAATTATATTAAATTAGTTTTGAAACTTTATATATTCTAAATTAAAATATTATACCAGCTGCTTCATAAGAAAGCATTAAAGAACTTGATATAATGTTCTACCAATTAAGTCATGTGACACTCCGTTTATTTTTCATCACTCGAACATCAAAAAATGAAAAATATATATGAACGAGACCCATTAAATTCTAAGTTTTGATCTATAATTCTAATTACAATTGTTTCTGATCCTACGTATTAGATAATTATATAAAAACTCCAAAATTCCAAATACATCTAAAAACAATCATATATAAATTTTAAAATTTTCAATACTAAAATTTTATATTTTAATTACATACACTCACCATGCGCAAGACGCATGTCTTAGACTAATTTGTAGTGTATTTAAGCATCATGCCAAAACTTCTTTTATATGCAATCTAAATCTGGTTTTTTATATAAGTTATTCGTATTTTTATTATAAAATTTATTGTTATGAATATATTTTTTCTTATATAAAATCTCATCTTTCAATCAAGAAATAGATCAACAACTTGCTCAACTAACATTTTAACCATGGTACACATAACTAAAAATATACAAACATTTTAATATAATTCTTTAAAGATTTTATGAGGTAACATCATTTCATACTATATCCAGTTTGGAATACATAAAAAAGTGTACTCTTTTTACGAATTTTCCTTTCAAATACGTTTTTCTTAAACTCTTTAAGAGCTATGGTTATATTCAAATCATAATGACATTAATCTTCTACAATGAATAAATGATGATTTATGGCTTATATAATAATTTAAAATCATAATGACATTAATCTTGTCGTGGAAAACACTGTATCTGAGTGTTTAAAATTTAAAAGTTTTTATATTCAAGTCTAAGGTTCGATATTGGCAACACAATTTCTTTCTGATTATAGAATACACGTTTATTGGAAGTTTAAGAACTGTTTCTCGGTCCAAGTGTTTCAAGGAAAGTTTCATCGTGGAATCATCGGCGGAGTTGTTCATTAAAATCGCATATGTTGAAGATAATTGACCATTATATCATATGTAATAGAGTTAAATGATTATACGATGATAATTGTTATTCAATGTTAAAAAAAAAAAGAACATTGAGAGTGATTGGTTGAGCTTTATCTCCCTATGTTAGTTTTATTTTGTTTTAAATCACTAAAGTTTACCAATCATGTTGTAGCTTTATTTTTTGAAAATTAAAACCTACAACAAATTTCTGTTGACTTTTACCAATCATGCTTTAGTTTTATTTTTAAAGCTACAACAAAAAAAATTAAAAACAAATTTTTTCTTTATGTATTTTAGGTAAAATCCTTGCCTATTTGTTTGATATGTTGTAAAAACTGTAAAATGAAAACAAAATATCTAAAATATCAAGTAAATTATATAATCATAATAAAAAATATCTATAAATATTTAGCATAGTTTTGGATGTTTTTAAAATTAATGAAATATTTTAATAAGAAATATTATTTACATATCAGATTTTAAATAACAATAAATTTTGATAATTTATCAAAAATATTGATAAAAATTATTTTAGTTGCTACAAAAATAACAATTTATAACTACAACAAACTTAACTACAACAAAAAAAAATTTGCAAAAGAATCTACAGTAACAATTTTACAATTACAACCAGTTTACTTACAACTAAATTTGTACAGCTAAATTTTTAGATCAACAGTCTGAGTTCTGAGCCAATCATCACCATTCAGAGCTTTTTCATCCTCTATTATTTGCTAGATTATAATCGATTCCTAAGGTTTTATTTTTTTCATTATAACGGCCCAATGTACTTAGATGGGCCAGATAGTAGAGCCCTTTAAAAAGATACAAAATTGACTGCTAGGGTTTTATCAGACATCCACTTTATAAAAACCTACTTGTGTCTTATTCTCACAACTCCGGCGCAGTTTTAACAGAGAAGGCAACCATGGGTACGAACCTTCACTTCTCTACCTCTTCCCTTTGTCTGTAATGTCTTGCTACTAGAATCTGATACATACAATCATGATATTTGTTAGGTATCTCTCGTGACTCAATCCACAAGAGGCGTGCCACTGGTGGCAAGCAGAAGAAATGGAGAAAGAAGCGAAAGTAAGTTTACAAACGTTTTAAGAAACTGTTGAACATGGAAGTATCTATCTGGAACGTGTTAGTTAGCTTAGGTGATGTTGTTGTTATCTGTTAGTCTGAATGTTTTGCCTTAGTAGTTTCTTATACTTATTTCAAGGTGTTTTGTCTTTAGCAAAATATTGGTGGAAAGCATTAATCTTTTGGAATTTTAAATACTAATTCATGAGATCATATTATGAAATTAAATCTTTAATCTATCCTTCAATTGTTGAAAACATTGTTCCCTTGGTTTGTTTAATCTGTTTCATTTCTGATTTTTAATATTTGTTTGATTGTGTTTGTTAAAGGTACGAGATGGGAAGGCAGCCTGCTAACACAAAGTTGTCAAGCAACAAGACGGTCAGAAGAATCAGAGTTCGTGGAGGTAATGTCAAGTGGCGTGCGTTGAGACTTGACACTGGTAACTACTCTTGGGGAAGTGAAGCAGTTACCCGCAAGACCAGAGTCTTAGATGTTGTCTACAATGCCTCCAACAACGAGTTGGTCCGTACAAAGACACTTGTGAAGAGTGCCATTGTTCAGGTTGATGCTGCTCCTTTTAAGCAGTGGTATCTCCAACACTATGGTGTTGAGGTTGGTCGCAAGAAGAAGAGTGCTGTTTCCACAATCAAGAAGGAAGGAGAGGTGAGAACATTCTTTCCTTTTAGTAGTATATATTCTATTTGATTCTGATTAAGTTGTAGCATTTGAATGAAGCTGAGGATACTTTTAAATATCGTAGGATGGTGAAGAAGCTGCTGCTGCTGTTCCTGAGGAGACCAAGAAGAGCAACCATGTCCTTAGAAAGATTGAGAGCCGACAAGAAGGTCGCAGTCTTGATTCCCACATTGAGGACCAGTTTGCAAGTGGTCGTTTGTTGGCTTGCATCTCATCAAGGCCTGGCCAGTGCGGACGTGCTGATGGGTATATTAGCTTGTTGCCCCTTGATCCTTGTCTTTGTTTGAAACCTAATTATTGTTCTAATTTATTTATCTTGTAAATGTTGTGCAGATACATTCTTGAAGGGAAAGAATTAGAATTCTACCAGAAGAAGATCCAGAAGAAGAAGGGAAAGGGTGCTGCTTAAAAAGCTTTCTCTTTGCCTTTGTTCTTTAAACATGTTTTGAGTATTTACTGTCTGAGAACTTTTGTTTTTGTATTAACTTGCTTATGGTATCTAGTAAACTTGGATTTTTTTTTGGTTCATTTTGAAATATCACTAAATGAATTTTTGGTACCTACTGTCAAACTGCATCAATCCGGTTAGGTCTTTTAAACCGGTTTGTTTCTTTCAAAATATTAGCACCAATGGTAGGCAAAGACCAGTGGAATAATAAATAAGTCAAGGTTCAACATTAAATCATATATTTAGTTTGAATATTAATGTCTGAATGGATGGATTCATATCATTTATACCAAAATTAATCAAATAAATTACATTCCAAGAATATGCTCTTCGTTCTCTGTCAGATATACATCGGATCCACCAGGCATATTCATTCTTCATAGTCATGTTTGTCCTATTCACTAAGGAAAATACGTGTTAGTCTGAATTAAATGAATATGGTCAAACAAGAATATATAAGTATTTTACTTTCCTAAATAAAAACAAAGACTTTTTTTACTTTCCCAATTTTGCTATAATCAGTCAAACTAAATTCTAATTATGTAAAAAACTATATTCTTTTGACAGTTTTCTTTCCTTAATTAAAAAAAAAACTAAATGTAATAAAATAAAAAGGTGGGCAGAGTTTTGAGCCGTTCGAAACGGATGCGTGTGGAGTGGACCTGTCTGTCTGTGTATCGTCGTCACTAAAACCCCACACACTCCAAGCTGAAGGGATCTTTCTCATCTTACGATTAAAAAGAGAAAGCAAAGGTACGAGAATCATTCTTCTTTAAAGCATATTCTCAAAACCAAGAAATGGCAGGGAACGATTGGGTGAACAGTTACTTGGAAGCGATTCTCGACGTTGGTCAGCCACTCGACGATGCTCGGCCTTCGCTTCTTCTTAGAGAGAGAGGTAGGTTCACTCCAAGCCGTTACTTCGTTGAGGAAGTTATTACTGGGTACGATGAGACTGATCTTCACAAGTCATGGGCCAAGGTACGCAACAGAGTGCTCTGCTTCTTCTTGTGTGTGTTTATGACATGTGTGGTGGGGTTTTCTTGTTAGGCTGTTGCTACGAGGAGTACACAAGAGAGGAACACAAGGTTGGAGAATATGTGTTGGAGAATTTGGAATCTTGCTCGTCAAAAGAAACAGGTTCTGTTTTTTTTATAGCTTTTTCATTGTCTTTTTTTTTTGCTTGTATCTTTTTTAAAAGTGAGTTTTATTTATGGAAGTGTAATCTAGCATCATGTCCGATGTGCTTGTACTAGTTTGTGCAGTGCTTATGCTTTCCAAAGAGTATAGGTTATCTATCCTGCTCTTGGAACATAAGCATCTTTAAAGTGTATTAAAAACTCTCATGTTCTTCTAACTGCCCATTCTTAATGTTTGTGCAGCATGAGGAAAAAGAAGCACAGAGGCTTGCTAAGCGCCGTCTTGAGCGTGAGAGAGGTCGCAGGGAGGCAACAGATGATCTGTCCGAAGATTTTTCAGAGGGAGAGAAAGGAGATAGCCTCAGTGAATTATCAACTCATGGAACCAAAAGCAGGTTGCCTAGGATTAATTCTGCTGAGTCCATGGAGATATGGGCAAATCAACAAAAGGGAAACAAGCTATATCTTGTTTTAATAAGGTATGTAGCTCAATAATCTGAGTAAAAACATGTTGCAAATGATCTACTAATGAGAATTTGTAAAGATTTTGATTGAAAGTATTATTAGTGTTCTTGTGTGATAGTTATTTTAACATTTAATGTGCATGCATGCAGTCTTCATGGTCTCATACGTGGTGAAAACATGGAGCTTGGACGTGATTCTGATACTGGTGGCCAGGTAATGTTACATACAATCTTTTTGTTATTGTAATTTGGTAATAATAATAGGCTTAGTCCTCCTCACTCTCCTTCTCATGTTACAGGTTAAATACGTTGTGGAGCTTGCACGCGCTTTGGCATCAATGCCAGGAGTCTATAGAGTTGACTTACTTACAAGACAAGTCTCTTCACCAGACGTTGACTACAGTTACGGCGAACCAACCGAAATGCTAACTCCACGAGATTCTGAAAACATCTCAGATGAGATGGGAGAGAGTAGCGGCGCTTACATAGTGAGAATACCATTTGGTCCAAAGGACAAGTACATTCCAAAAGAGCTTCTATGGCCACACGTTGCCGAGTTTGTAGATGGTGCAATGAACCACATCATTCAAATGTCCAAAGTTCTCGGTGAACAAGTTGGTAGTAGTGGAAAGAAGCCTATTTGGCCTTGTGCCATACATGGACACTATGCTGATGCTGGTGACGCAGCTGCTTTGCTATCAGGTGCACTTAATGTGCCTATGATTCTCACTGGCCATTCACTTGGTAGAGATAAATTGGAGCAGCTTTTGAAGCAAGGCCGTCTTTCGAAAGAGGAGATAAACTCGACTTATAAAATTATGCGTCGGATAGAAGGTGAGGAGTTATCTCTTGACGTTGCTGAGATGGTGATTACTAGTACAAGGCAGGAGATAGATGAGCAGTGGAGGTTGTATGATGGTTTTGACCCTATTTTGGAGCGTAAGTTGAGGGCTAGGATCAAGCGGAATGTGAGTTGTTATGGACGGTTCATGCCTCGCATGGTTGTAAGTAACTTAAACGCTATTTACTTTCTTGATTCTTGAGGGTTCATTAGTTACAAACTTGTGACTTCTTTTGTAGTATCATAAAAGTATATTCTGTTTATATATTTTGGATTTAGAAAATTCCACCGGGGATGGAGTTTAATCATATTATCCCACATGATGGTGAGATGGAAGATGCAGATGGGAGTGAGGAGCATCCAACTTCTAGAGATCCACCAATATGGGCTGAGGTTCTTTCTTGAATATAGCATCTACATAACATTTATCAGCTTTCACCTGAGAAAAGAAAATATAAGATTAGTTATTGGATGTAGAAATATTATTGCATTATTCTGTCAAGTAGTTTACTCGATCTTTAAATTATATATGCAGATAATGCGATTCTTTTCAAATTCTCGAAAGCCTATGATACTTGCACTTGCGAGGCCTGACCCCAAAAAGAACATCACGACTTTAGTGAAGGCATTTGGAGAATGTCGCCCACTGAGAGAGCTTGCTAATTTGGTATGTGTTTGGGACTTTTATGAATATACATTTCTCTAACAACACTTTGGTTGTTTGTTTAATGCTTATGTGTTGCAGGCACTTATTATGGGTAACCGTGATGGGATTGATGAAATGTCGAGCACCAGTTCTTCTGTCCTCCTTTCTATTCTGAAGCTTGTTGACAAGTATGATCTGTACGGTCATGTTGCATACCCTAAACATCACAAACAGTCAGATGTTCCAGACATATATCGCCTAGCTGCAAAGTCTAAGGTACTCTTAGCAGTTCATTATAACCATGACATGCTACTTTATTCAAGTTCAAGATCATTAGATTAATTATCGTGCATGGATTCGTTGCAGGGTGTTTTCATCAATCCAGCTTTCATTGAACCATTTGGACTTACTCTCATTGAGGTATTTTTTTTCTTCTATCTTCAAATGTGTTTGTTTCATAACTTATATGTTTGTTTGTTTGTTCATTCCTTCTAGGCTGCAGCCTATGGTTTGCCAATGGTTGCTACAAAAAATGGTGGTCCTGTAGATATACACCGGGTAATGTATTCTTCATAAGACTATTAAATAATGTACCTTATTGGTTGTTATAATATATACTTTTATTCCAGATTCTGGACAATGGTCTCCTTGTGGATCCTCATGATCAGCAATCTCTTTCCGAAGCTCTTCTTAAGCTTGTTGCTGATAAGCACCTATGGGCAAAGTGTCGTCAAAACGGGTTAAAGAACATTCATCAATTCTCTTGGCCAGAGCATTGCAAAACTTACCTATCTCGCATAACCAGCTTCAAACCAAGACATCCTCAATGGCAAAGCGACGATGATGATGGTGATGCTGATGGTGATAACTCAGAACCCGAGTCACCCGGTGATTCCTTCAGAGACATATCCTTGAACTTGAGGTTTTCATTTGACGGTGGAAGTGGTAACGACAGCTCCATGAATCAAGAAGTGAGCTCCATGGACAGGAAGAGCAAAATCGAAGCTGCTGTCCTAAACTGGTCTAAAGGCAAAGACAGCCGCAAAATGGGATCACTGGAGAGGTCAGAGGTTAGCTCTGGAAAGTTCCCTGTGGTTCGAAGAAGGAAGTTTATTGTTGTCATTGCTCTTGACTTTGATGGTGAAAAAGACACACTTCCAGCTACAAGAAAGATTCTAGAGTCTGTTGAAAAGGAAAGAGCTGATGGATCCGTTGGTTTCATATTGTCAACATCTTTAAAAATCTCTGAGATAACATCTTTCTTGGTGTCAGGAGGGTTAAACCCTAATGATTTTGACGCTTTCATATGCAACAGCGGGAGTGATCTTTACTACTCATCTCTCGACTCTGAAGATGGTCCTTTTGTTGTTGACTTTTACTACCATTCCCATGTAGAGTATCGTTGGGGTGGTGAAGGGCTGAGGAAGACTTTGATCCGTTGGGCGTCTTCAGTTAATGAGAAAGGATCTGAAAATGATGAGCAGATTGTCACTCTTGCTGAACATCTCTCAACTGACTACTGCTACACTTTTTCTGTCAAAAATCCTGCAGCTGTAAGTTTAATCAGACACACCATATAAATATATATATTTTAAATACCATGAGGTTCGGGCCAAATTGCGTAATCCTCCCAGGCCCCGAAACCACAACATGTAATATTAGTTTCGTCCCAGCGGTCACTCAAAGCAGGGATCAGGCCCGAAACCATAATATGTAATATTAGTTTCGTCCTAGCAGTCACTCAAAGCAGAGATCAGGCCGAAACCACAATATGTAATATTAGTTTTGCGTTGAAGTAGCATTTGTTTTGATTTTTATATTCAGGTACCTCCAGTGAGAGAGCTCCGGAAGCTGCTGAGAATCCAGGCATTGCGTTGTCATGTAGTCTATAGTCAGAATGGCACCAGAATAAACGTGATACCGGTGCTGGCCTCTCGTATACAAGCCCTAAGGTAACTACTATTAACCACAAAACTTGTGTTACAAGGAAGTAATTATATGGTTTCTGTTACTTACTAATCAGTTATGGTGAGAACCAGGTACTTGTTTGTTCGGTGGGGGATTGACTTGGCGAAGATGGTTGTGTTCGTGGGAGAATCAGGTGACACTGACTACGAAGGATTGCTCGGAGGGCTTCACAAGAGCGTTGTACTAGAAGGTGTATCTTGCAGCGCAAGTAACGCTTTGCACAGTAACAGGAGCTATCCACTCACTGATGTGATCTCCTTGGAGAGCAACAACGTGGTTCACGTACCCTTGGATTCAGATGTTCGTGATGCACTGAAGAAACTAGAGCTTCTCGAAGACTAAAACTCTCAAACAAGAAACCAAAACATCTCACAATTATCAATGATGGTTGGTACCAAATGCGAACTACTATCTTTTTCATAGACCACATGGTTTGGTTTTGGTTTCTTTATTACTTGGGTCGTACATAAGCCTGCCGGAAATACCGAACTTTTCGTATGGTTGTCTTTTTGACACCTACCATATCTACTTAATTTGGCAATAATAAAAAGAAATAGATATTCCGGTATTTAATCATTAAGATAAAATAAGTAAAGAAAGAATCATTTCTTTAAATTTATCACCCAAACACATGCACCTGATCCTAAATTAAAGCTTACTACAGATGTTTACCTAGTAGTCTTTAAAAGCTAACGTCATTTCTTCTCAACTATAATTAACAGACAAGCTAATTATTAGTGTCTTATAATCGAATATTCCCCAAGAAATATAGACACGTACGTAGAGGATTGCGTACCTGATTTGGTTTTGTTGGGGTGATTAGGAGAGTGATCTCTTTTGGGAAACTTGGACGGTAGATTAGCTGTTCCTTGATAATGTTTGCTCAAAGCGGCTTAGCAAATATGCATTTCAAACATATGGTGAACAATGATTTGTCACAATGTCGAACCATAGACAAAAAATAATGTGTAATACCATATAACAAGACTCACAAGTCACGACATTTTTAAGTTACTCTTTGTGTTGAGATGTTCACTGAAAGCTACATGACCATCACGTGTATCACGCAATATAAATAAATTTCATGTTTGTAATGATATAACTAAATTTCATGTTACAATGCTTATAATTCTTTGTGAAGATATTATCGTCTATTTTTAACAACCTTTTATTCATATTCCAATAAATTATACTCCGTTGTGATTATTTTTACTAATTTCTATGAAATTTGCCATCTAACAAATTAACTCTAGTTTCGCTATTTATTTAGTCATTTAAAAAAGCTATCCTCAGCTATTTTAACATGATACTCTATATATTCCAAAAAATCAACGTTTTAAGTTTTCACACATATTAAAAAACACATTACTTTTTTATTGTCAAATTAATTATTTCCTTCAGTTTTTAACCAATAGAATTTTAATACCAATAATTACTTTTTTGAAGTCTACAATACACCATTAAATAATGTTAAAAATGTGGTTTTTTGGAAAAAAAAAGTATTTTAAAACATGGATCTTTTAAGAAAGAGTACTAATATCTCAGAAATTTTTGCAACAATTTTCACTAGAAAATTTATAATCGTTTTTGAAAATGATGCATGTATGTATGATGTTTTCCTAGCCATTAGTGTCAACCACCTGATTAAAAGAGCTTTCACCGTTATTAATTTATTATCATCAGTCAACTAACAACTCATAAGCACATGTACTTTTTTTGAGAACTAAGCACATGTACTTATATTGTTATCCTATCATCTTTTGCGTATCTTATCAAGAAAAATTAATAAATCAAACTATGTAGTATTTTGGATTTTCACATGATTTCAAATCTCTTCTTTGTTGTTGCAAATGTTCTAATAGACTCGAATGATTAAAATCAAGTAAATAAACCATCAACAATATTTACTTTACAAAGAATTTATTGTTGAATATAAAGCCCCAACTACAAGAATGTACTATTTTAATTTCCTTATCATATTTTCTTTCTAGAACTGAAAAAGATCCAGTGGGCACGAGGCATTACTCACGTATAAAAGGCAAAAGCCGGTAATAAAAATCTGAGTCTGTCGGTCTTGAAATTTACTCTGTTCGTACTCAAAAGATTTCGAGTATCTCGAAAAGTAGTGTAAAACAAAAGTCACTTTTCGTGTAAAAAAATAATATAAAATGCGAAATAGAGAAATAAAGATAACAAAAAATAAAATAAAATTTATTGATAACCTAACAAACAACTAAAAGATGAGACCACGACACCAACCTCTACCTGCATACTTAAGTTTCTTCTTTAAATGTTGCAGCTGTCTCCTTGCCTTTCCCATCTTCTCTCTCACTCCTAAGACTTAAATTCACACGTTAATATAGCTTCATTAACAATCTTTTTCATTTATATATTTTCATCTCATATCTCAGATCTTGTAACACCCTCTTCTCTTTTCCACTTTGGATCATATCAAGCAAATATTATTATAGTCTTGAGTAATTGACATTAGGTCTCATATGGACCAAGATGATCAGAAAGATGAAGCAGAGACGGTGACGTGCGGTAACAGCAAGTGCAAGAGCAAGATCGTCCCTGGAGATGGAGACGAAACCAAGAAAAGGAACAAGAAAAAGAAACCTCAGAAGACAACAAAACGACGGCAGTTAATGTCGTTTAGTGAGCTTCCTGATTACATGAAGGATAATGAATTTATATTGAATTATTACAGAGCTGATTGGTCCATTAGAGATGCTTTCTTCAGCGTCTTCAGTTTCCACAATGAGTCCCTCAACGTTTGGACGTTAGTATATAACAATTTTTCACTTTTATTGTTTTGTGTGTGTTTTTGTTTGATTTCTGATGAAATGATTTTTTGTTTTTGTTTTGACAGACATTTACTTGGTTTCATCTTATTTGTTGGACTTACTATCGCCAACTTTATGCATCATGATAAGTTCTTCCCCGTGGTACGTCTCTTTTAATTAATTTCCATGCCAACTCATTAGTAAAACTATGGAAAAATACTATTAGAGATCGATGTGAATCAATAACGTGACTATATTTTTTTCGAAAAAAAAACTAGAGAAAAAATGTTGTTAGCTAATGATGGTATTAATGTTGATGATTGTGTAGGATGCAAAGAGTCCAGGGAATGTAACAAGATGGCCATTCTTTGTCTTCTTATGTGGCTCAATGTTCTGCCTACTCTCAAGCAGCATTTGCCACCTCTTCTGCTGCCACTCCAAAGACCTTAACCTCTTCCTCCTCCGCATAGACTACACCGGTATAACCGCCATGATCATCACTTCCTTCTTCCCACCAATGTACTACATCTTCCAATGCACTCCACGTTGGTACGTCATCTACCTCGCAGGCATCACCTCTATGGGAATCTTCACAATCATCACACTCTTCACTCCATCACTTTCCTCTCCCAAGTACCGCGGTTTTCGGGCTTTGCTCTTTGCCTTCATGGGGCTCTTTGGTATCGTTCCTGGTGTCCATGCCCTAGTGGTTAACTGGGGAAACCCGCAAAGGAATGTGACGCTCATGTATGAGTTGGCTATGGCAGTGTTTTATCTTGTTGGGACAGGGTTCTATGTAGGGAGAGTGCCAGAGAGGTTTAAACCGGGATGGTTTGATCGTGTGGGACATAGTCATCAGATCTTCCATGTGTTTGTTTTGTTGGGTGCTTTGTCTCACTATGCAGCTGCTCTCTTGTTCTTGGACTGGCGTGACCATGTTGGTTGTTAAACCAATAAATGTATTTATAATTCTTTTGAAGTAAGGAAAAAAATATTATTATTACATTGTTTTGTATCACTTGGAAACAAATTGTAATAACCATGTGGTTACATCAAACTGTAATTCCTCTTGTGCTAGCCCTTTAATCATAACTCTATTTCCATCACATGTAATCTTTTGGTCTTTGAAGGCATCTTCTCCAACTTAAAAGTAACCAAACCAGAGGAGGCATCATACTCAAATGTGACTTCATTTGACTCAACAACACATGTCTTAGGCTTCACCGATGAGTAAGCTCCAAATTTACCACATCCTTTGACTTCCAATACCACTCTCATCTTCTCAGCATCATATCTAAGTCCTTGGATAGCTCCTCCAGAATTGTACATGTTTACAAGACCAAGCGGAGCAAATGAGACTCCACCATCAGTAACTAGATGAGTAATGGGGCTCACAGTGAAGATCTCTTGCTCACGGATCTTCAGTGAGATTGGTAATGACACATTGTATGGCAAAACGCTGAGTTCACCTCTGCTTTGAGAGTAAACAGCACAGTCTAAGTTCAAGGTCTTTGGATCAGTAGATGCCTCGGATATCAAATGAACATCACGACCAAGGATGAAGCTACTGATGCAATCAGTTTGTGTCTGGTGGAAGATGTTTTTCCTTTCTATGCTACTCCATGCTGCTCCTTGGCAGTTGTAGACACCAAGAACTCCAGTGTATTTGTTCATGTTCCATATTTTTAGCAAGCTGAAACCAAACAGAGCATGGTAAGAAAATGATCAATCATAAAACTTACACTGATCTTTATAAACCAATGACAGAGCCGAGCCTGAACACATCCAAGTGAAACATTGGTCTTGAACCTCTAAATTTTTTTCGAATAGTATATATATATATATGAACATAACCTTCCAAATTGTTTAAATTTTTTTTTTACTAAATTATTTAAAACCTTCAAAATCTCAGCACCGGTCATAATATCCGTTTATTGCTACTCTTCTACATTTATATATAGGGCCTGTTTGTTTCACCATCCAGATGAGTCATCTGGATGGAGATGAGAGTTTTGTTTGTTTATACACTAAAAGTATAACTCATCTAGATGGATCATCCGGATGACTTTGAAATTTCAGGCTTAATTTTGAAGTCCATCTGGATGGACCAATTTGAACCATCTGGATGGAGATGGTTCTTCCAAAATTGTATAATGTCTATTATACCCTTTTATATAATTCATAAATTACAAACTTAAACATACTATTATTTTGTAACTTACATGACAAAACCACATTTACTCAAATGATAAAACCGCATTTTTCCGCCAAAACCGTAAAAACACATTTTTCTCCCAAAACTACAAAAACGTGTTTTCTCGCCAAAATCGCAAAAACGGATTTCCTACCAAAAACCGCAAAAACTTTTTTTCCTAGCTAAAACGCAAAAATGTGTTTCCCACCAAAACCGCAAAAACCGACAAATACGTTTTCCTAGCAAAACTGCAAAAATCCGGTTTTCTGCCAAAACGTATTTTCCCGCAAAAACCGAAAAACACGTTTTCCCGCCAAAACCGCAAACACTCGTTTTCCTTCCAAAACCGCAAAATTCTGTTTTTTCGCCAAAACGCGTTTTCTCATAAAAACCGCAAAATGCGTTTTCCCGCCAAAACGCGTTTTCCCGCCAAAACGCGTTTTTCTGCCAAAACGCGTTTTCCCGCCAAAACGCGTTTTCCCGCCAAAACGCGTTTTCCCGCCAAAACGCGTTTTCCCGCCAAAACGCGTTTTCTCGCAAAAACGCGTTTTCCCGCCAAAACGCGTTTTCCCGCCAAAACGTGTTTTCTCGCAAAAACGCGTTTTTCCGCCAAAACGCGTTTTTCCCGCCAAAACACATTTTCCCGCCAAAACGCGTTTTCCCGCCAAAACGCGTTTTCCCGCCAAAACGTGTTTTCCCGCCAAAACGTGTTTTCCCGCCAAAACGTGTTTTCTCGCAAAAACACGTTTTTTCGCGAAAACGCGTTTTTCCGCCAAAACGCATTTTTCCGCCAAACTGCGTTTTTCCGCCAAAACGCATTTTTCCGCCAAAACGGGTTTTTTCGCCAAAACGTGTTTTTCGCAAAAACGTGTTTTTCCGCCAAAACGCGTTTTTCCGCCAAAACACGTTTTTCCGTCAAAACGCGTTTTCCCGCCAAAACGTGTTTTCCCGCTATAACCGCAAACACGCATTTTTCAACTAAAACCACAAAATCCGTTTTCACCCAAATCCGCAAAAACTCATTTTCGCGTCAAAATTATAAAAATATATTTAAAATTAATATCATAGATATGACTAAATTAAAACAAGGGTATTTTAGTAATTTTTTTACTAAACTCATCTAGATGAAGAATAAAAACAGAGAAACAAACATGAATCCATCTAAATGATCCATCTAGATGGACCATCTTGATGGACAAACAAATAATCTCAAAAATGTGGATGAACCATCTAGATGAATCATCTAGATGGATTAGTCGGATGGAGATGATAGATGGTGAAACAAACAGCACCATAATCCCACCAATTCAACTTAAACTGTAAAACTTAAAGCGTAACTCACAGAAACTCCATTATCTTTGCAGTTCAACTTGGTTCAACATAGGCCTAATTCAAAAGATCTTGATGTTGTGCAGCCGCATGTGCCCACAAAGTTCCATAAACCCCATTTTTAGGAATACGATAATGTCAAATTCTTTTATATTAAAAGAGAGAGATAGATACACGGAAATTAATAACTTGATGTTTATGTTGTTTCTTGTTTGCAACTGATGTAAATATACAATAAATACAGAAAATGAAATTCGGCCCTCTGCAACGTATAATAAGAGAAGTTCAAAAAATAAAATTGTCCAAGTGGACCCAATAGATTCACATCTTCCTCGGGAGTAATTATTTTTTTCACACAAATGCAATTAGTTTCAAACATTTAAGCATACAACACAATCAAATACAGTTCATAAGCAAACAACACACATAAAAGCACAAGTAAAAGTCCGATATAGAGTCTACATGTGGCTCGAGATTAATAGGACACGCACATTCATCAAGACAAATTGTAGAACCATGAAATAGATAGTAGATTGGTTATGAGCTTGCAAATCTTGATGATCAATCGATGACCAAAGACATTATCTTTTCCTGAAGATTTGGTTGAATCGGCTGAACTCTATATTCAAATTGCCCCTCTTGATCTCTCATCATCATTCCTCTTGCGTTGCTAGCTATAGCCATCTCTTGTTGTTGCTGCAATTTTCAAAATTATTTATATATATATATACACACACATAGAATATACTAATACATAGTTTCAAACCAAATCATAAGCGAAAGTCTTTAAGAACAAGTGACAAAATATTATTTAAACTTACCAGCTGGAAACTGAGTTGGCGATTCTCCTCCACTAACATTTTTTCCTGCCACAAAAATGTTGGATGTAAGCATTCATTTCAATCTGTAAGCTCCATCGTATATAGAACATAAGTTATATAGCTCACATTTCTCCTCTTTGTCATGAGGAACTCCATCTGTACCAAGCAGAACAAGTTAAGAGTTAATTAGAGTTTTAATAATGTATTTATGTGTGCAAAATATACACGTGTATGAATGTATACATGCCTGGTGGTCTCTGACTTTGTCAAGGCCATGTTCAATGGCGTGCTCTACGGCCATCAGGTTTTTTAAGTTGAGAGATTGTATATCTTCTCCCTTCAAATGCCTGTATTCACAGTTTCTATGCATTTCATTATTACGCAAATATTTCAACAGATACCTTAATCAATTGTTTTTCATATATTTGTGTAAAAAAAATGGCAGTGAATGGTAAAGGTTAACCTGAGCTCCAGTTGCAAGCTATCATTCTCTTTTTTGATCATATCAATCTCATTGCTAAGGTTCTGGAAAAATTAAAGAAATATTCAACATGTATATGTATTTTAGATGAGCAATAATGGGTTTCTTAATAAAATAATCAAACGAAAGTTCACTTACCTAAACATTAAACATAATTATATATGTGAAAAATATTGAAGAAACATATCTGTTTATCCATGAAAAGTATTTCATTTTTCATCCTATATGTAAGAAAGTATACGCATGTATACTAGGTGGCAACTTAAATGGTATACAACCCTCTATGTGCTTATTACTTTATAGAGATATATCTGATCATTTGTGAGAACTAAACCTGTTTTTGTCAGAACTGATTAGTAATATATAAATATTATGAATTAAAATATATCGTTAAGAGTAAATTAAAAACTATTTTCCCATGTTTCAAACACACATGTAAAAGTAAAAAAAACTACACATATAAAATCAGTAAACTGTTCAGACACACTCCTCAATATAACATCCCAAATTTCCTCTCAACCTCATAACCTAATAACGGAATTACTAACAGATATAACAAACTCCCTCAAACTTTTGTCTTGGTGGTATCAAAATACAGTTGGTATACATGTTTAGATATATACTAGAATATACATATGTATATATATATATATATATATATATATATATATATATATATATATATAAATTATCAAGATCTAAATTAAGCATGAATAGTTGACAAAAAAGCATGAATAAAATAAACATGATGGAAAAAAGAGAATAAATTCCATGTTTTGTGGCTCCATATATTGTTGAGTACAAGCGAATCAATAAAGAGGCTTTGGAAGGCTAGACACACAAAATTTTTTGTAGATCTGCATCTAGGGTTCGAGGTTTTTCTTTTTGACATATTTTGGGAAAGAACATTAATAAGCAAATCCCTTATCATGATATTTAGCACACATTCTGTGTTTTTGAGACAAAACACTAGAGTAGATCTGTATCTAGAGTTGAAGATTCAAGGGTCTTCTGACATGTTTTAGGCAAAGAAATTGAAAACCGTTTTCATCATTTTGGCTATATAGAATATTTTTTGAAACAAAGAAACTTCAGATCATATCAAAGAAAGAAAAGAGAGATATAGAGTACCTCATGCTTAGCATCCCAAAGTTTCTTGCCAGATAACTTCTGGTATTGGTCCAACATAGCACCAAGATCCATGGACGGACAACAATAATCAGTCATCTTACCATTACTTGCAAAGACTATGAGAGCAACTTTTGCATCGCAGAGAACTGTGATCTCTTTAGCCTTCTTCACCAACCCATTCCTCCTCTTTGAGAACGTCACCACTCTGTTGTTGGCGTTCTCTATTCTTTTTATCTCAATCTTGCCTCTTCCCATCTTTCTCTCTCTAGCTCTCTCTCTTTTCTCAGTTTTAGGGTTTTCTATGAAATTGTTAAGATATGGAGGAGAGGATATGTGGTTTATATGAAGAGGAAGAAGAAAAGGATGAGCATTAGTCTCAAAGGAACATTGATGAGAGAGAGAGAGAGAGAAAGTGTTTTGATTAATCAATAGGTGAAGAGACTTATGACAGTTTGGGATGGAAAACAAAGCTACTTTCTAGATGGTACAGTCATGGAAGGCTTGTTTTTGTGGTTCTCTTATTACACGATCAGTCATGTAGCCAACTCTACTCCCTCTCTCATTTTTACACTAGCAAAAGGAAAAAATATTGAAGTAACGTACACAATAAAATAAAGTTGAAACACATTTAGTTGATTTGCTTAACACTCTTTGCCTGTGATTGATGTTTATTGCTTTCATTTGATTTGATCATCTCTATCTTTTTCTTGATAGGCTAAAGTGTCGTTTTTAACCTCTGGTCTCTTCCTTGCTATGTTTTTTTTTACTATGAGGATGAATTGAGATTAATTTGAAATTGCAAAAAAAAGAAGCAAGACACAAGGTTATCTACAAAAAGCAGTTTTCATTTATATGAATAAAGCAAATAAGTATCATGTATCCCATATATGTCTTGTCTATCTAGCAAATTAACACTAAATTAAATGAAATCAGCAGAATTATATATTGCAACTTTGTAGATTTAAACCAAAAGATCCTTAGAAATTAGAACTACTTAGCTTTTTCTACGGGTTATCTACTTTGGTAATTCCAAGACTTGCTATTTTAAGAACTCTATGTTATATATAGGTCTTATCGAATATCGTAGCTACGCTATATTAGTCACACGTATAATGTTGACAACAGGCGTAAAATAAATTTATTCGAAGTTAAATCCTGATTGATAAGAAAGAAAAAAGGAAAGAAGCGGTGAGCTCACCAAAGACTTTGGTATAACCGTTGGAAGTTATCATGCTTAAACTTTCCAAGGTGAAATGACATTTGGTAGTCAAAAGCAAAACAAGTTTATGGTTTTCTGATTCACAACAATCTATCACGTGTCAAATTCTTGTGGAAGTCTGTGGTACTTAAAAACTTTTATGAGATAATAATACGAGTGAATGAAAGGCGAGTGTTATTCATATAACGAGTAAAATGCATGACCATTGAATTACATACGGTATAACAAGCGGAGACAAACACATATACTCAAATATATATTCTAAACTCAAAAGAGAGCAACAACAACAGCCGAAACAAAGGCGACCAACAAAGAAGCACCACCACCTAATGAAGAAGCGGTACTTTCATCCGCAGGTGGTGTAGCTGTTTCTTTAGACCCGGTAGGTGCCGTGGTCCCGGCTCCTGGGGTAGTGGGAGCGGCTCCTCCAGCACCTGGCGCAGTGGCACCTCCAGGTGCTGGAGTAGTAGCACCCCCAGATTTTGGACTGGTAGCACCACCAGGTGCTGGTGGGGTTGCCTCTCCTGTTGATGGAGGGGTAGCAATGGCCCCACCGCTGTGTCCACTACCTTCATCACCTACGATGACGGTAAGTTTTTGACCAAAACGGCAATGGTCAGCGACGGTGCAGATGAAGTGAATTGGTCCGGTGTCGTTTAGCATAATTTTGGCAGGAGAAGTGGTTATGATGCTGAGAGGTGTCTCTTTCTCGCAGTTTTCATATGCATCTGCTGTTACGATAGCCACATCATGTCTCTGAGCATCGAAATCAAATTCTGTTATAAAAATATCAAAAAAACTTGTTAGTATTATTTAAAAAAAAAATGATGCGTAACGTGATGTATCCATGACCTATGCCTTAATGTATATAAAAATTGTGAAAACAAAGACATAGAAAACTAACCAAGCTCGTCGCCTACTTGGAAAGTTTTACCGGCAGCCCATGTATTATAGAACTCGAGATCAGAAGGTCTCGCCCATTTTTCATCATCACCAACCTTGTAGTCCTCTGCGGAAACAACCGCAGCAAATACCAAAACCATAAACGTTACCGTTTTGATAAATCCAGCCATTTTGTGTCGTGTTTGAAAAACTCAGGTCACCCCCAACTTCTGTATTCTTCTTGGTCGATAATTTGATAATGTTGTCTTAAAAAAAGATATCTACGACACTTTTTGAACCTGTGTTGTTGATATGGTTTAAAAAGTGATGAAGAAGAGAGTTCTATCTATATAGGGGAGAAAGAGAGGTCCTCCAAGGTCCTGTAACGCAAGATACGTAAAGACGCGTACGTGTTCGGTAGTTGTTGAATAAACCTGTCTTGGATAACTATTAACACCAACCATATTTGTCTGCTTGGTTTTTGTTTTCCTTCTCCATCGAATTGTTTGTTATTTTTTCTTATTTTTAGCTTGTAAAGTATTATCTATTCCTATTTTTTTTATCAAGTAATAGAAAGATTAATCATCTATGAAAATAATATTTTTTTTAAGATACCCACTATAAATATATTAAAAAAACTCATATTCTTATTGCAGATTGATTTCGCAATGTTTGAATGAAACTCATTGAATAATGCCAATATGATCATTGATGATCCATCCCTTTAACCTTACATGATAACAATATCATGTTTCAAAAACGTATACTTGTGATTAAAAGCATCAGTGTGTATTTACCTAGAATATATACCGTATATATATAATATTAATTGTTTTAATATAAACTTTGCTAAACACCTAAATTCCAAATTGTAAAAGTAAGTTTAACCAATAATTTAACAAGTGTTAATATCTCACAACTTTTTGTTGAGTAGTTTCCCAAACTATAAAAAAATAACTGTGGTACTAAAAAACTGAAGAACATCATCTTCCTTGTTCTAACAGGAAACACCATCACTTTCTGCAACGCTAAAAGATATTCTCTCTGGCTTTTTAGACCCAAATGTATATTTGATACCTAACTTCTCATCATCCTCATTCATCACTTCTTCTTCGCTCACAAATGGAAAATCGAACACCAGAGGCGACTTATCTCCTCCTCTTCTGCTACCCCCGAAACTAAAGTGAGGAACTTCATCATCTTTTCTTGCTTCATCATCACTATGACTTGTAATGCCAACACCACCACTTGGTGCTGCTGTGCTTGTTGTGAACGGCATGATGGATGGAGTTGGGGGCTCTGATGACGTTGCTCCATCAGATGAAGAGACTGGGAATGTGAAGCTTGCGTTTGGACCCGAAGGAAATGCCCATCTTTGATTAGGCTTGGCTACTGAGATAGACGAAAGTAGCCTTTTACTATTAGTAGTTCCAAGTGAATGAGATGGTGGTTTGGGTAGATTAGCTGGCTCGTCTCCTAATGAACTGGAAACAGCTTTTGCACCGTCCTGAGACGAAGTGAACAACTGCAATTTTAGTTTTAATGTCACAAAAGAAGCAAAAAGTCATGAGGCTTAGTTACATTTGCTATGCTAGAAGTACCTTTTCATGTGTGCTTCCGAAGAGAGAATCCTTAGGCTTCCCTAACTCATATTGGAATGTGGTACCGCTACTACTTCCACTGAATATTCCATTTGATGCTGAAGTGGTCTTAGCCATCGCATTTTGAGTGGTAACTTCAGATACTTTAGCCACAGAGGATGACGGAACGTGAGAGATAATGTTTGGGATATCTTCAGTCAACTTGGCTGAGCTATTATCCTTTTTCACATTGTTGATGTTGGAGCTGCTTGGTTCAGCAGTTTTCGAAGACTCTGGATATCTCCAAGAAGTGGCAAGCTTTAACTCAGCAGATTTATCTTTCGGGGTGGGTTGGGTCCGTTCAAGGTGATCCAATATCGTCCTAGCGATCTGACTAGAATGTCTAGGCACAGTCGGTGTACCAACTTCTAATCCTGTATGCATCCCATAGGCTGTTGTCTGGGGCATAGATAAGTTACTTGATTCCCCTGCTTCATAGCTCTTGTTAGCAGAATTTTCAAAATGACTCCTGGAAGGTCGTGAATAAGGAGACATGGTGACGCTCTGGCGAGATCTTCTACTGGGTCCAAAAACTCCACTATCTTTTCCCTTGCTAAGTTTGAGCTGGTCAGATTAGAAAGTGATTTATCAGGTTCCAAAGGAGTATATATATGATTTAGCAGATAAAAGGAACCCAAGAAAGATTCAAAAGGTAGGATAGTGATGACTCTAATTTAGAACCAAGTTTTGAAAAATGTAAACAAGACCTAGATGATCAACACTATGAATGTTTACCAAGTTCATTAAGAGGATCTCTAAGGTAACAAACATAGGTAGTAAGCGCAAACTATATTATAAATTTTACAGGTAATCAGAATTGTATACCCGACTAGGAGAGTTTACCTGGCCATATCTTGTCTGCACACTTTGGGAGGGAGACTGGAGGGCACTCAGGCGCTTGCTACTGTTGTCTTGCAATTGCATCAGCTGAGCAAAACAAGAAACTTTAAAATTTACCAAAAAACTTTAAGCAAATAGGTATTAAGAAAAACTACACACACCTTTGACTTAGAACCTGAGAGGATGGATCTAGGATATGGAGTCCTTGGAAAACTATGAATCCCAAAGTTTTCTCGTTGGCTTTGAGGAGTTGCAAAACCAGATTGATCATTGAATTTGACACCAGGCCAACATGCGGAAGGCTTGCTCGATGGTGATGCACCTGAAGAATTTGCTATAACCATACCCCTGTCTAGACTATTCTTTTCATTTCTTGCTACAAAACCTTGGGGACTACTCGATGATGTCTGGCCTCCCATATATGCCTTAGCAAGTTCTGCCGGTGATAGACCAGCTTCATCCCGCACCTGTTTGCCTTCGTCAGGAGTCTATTAAAAGAAAAAAAAAACAAATGAGAAAAGTGAGTATAGTAAATACTTGTGAAGTAGTAACATCAACTCTTTGATGAAGCAAATATGTGAAATTACATAGCTCTTCCTTTATATGATTTCACAAACAGTCGATCCTCAAACAGACCCCAGAGACCAAATTTATGTGGATACCTTCCAAATTACTCCCTAAGTATGCCAAAATACACTTTAAACTTTTCCGGGAAAGTGGAATAGCAACCCATATATATTGCTAGTTTCATATAAACATCGAAACAAAAAGAAACGTTGGATAGCAAAGCAACTTACTATTGGCTTGGCAAGTGGGGTTGGCGTAGCCCAAAGTTCACTACTAGCATCCCTGGCACCAACTGGCTCTTTTCTTTTATCAAGAAAACTCACATTTTTCTTGGCTCCCTCTCTCAGAGGGATCTCCACTCGCTCGTCTCTCATGACATTAGGTAGATCAATAGCCCTTGAATTTATTATCTCTATAAGACGATCAGTTTCCGCCCTGGACATAAATGAAAAGATGGTCAATGTAAAATTCGTCTGTATAAACAAAAATACAAACAAAACTGCAAAGAAATATAACAGAAGAGACAGGAAAGATAAGCAGCCACTCAATAAGAATCTAATGATACAGACATGACAATAAGCATTAACAAACTCAAACTAACAAGCAAAAGGAAGCAAGTTTACATCGAGCATCATTTGAAATGCAACTAACGTAGAAAAATGATAATAAACATACTGTGAAAACGTTTTTCCTTCCATTAGCCTTTCAAGCTCCGAGATTGCAACGACATCATTTAAAGCTGAGTTGCTTTTAGCTTGTGCATTGATACTGAAATTGCTTCCGTTGACCTTTGCTGCACTACTAGTACCTCCCTCTTCAATTGATGCAAACTTCGGTTTCTGAAAAGGAAAAAAATGATGTATCTATTGCAAATTACAAAAGCAAGAATAAAATGAAGGGAGTACGGATAGCAGAAGAAATAAATTGAGTTATTCATGTCGAATGAAGAGAACTTTCGAACTAAAGAGCACGAAGCAGTAAGCTTACATCTCTCTTAGATTGTACAAAGATCAGTTCTATGCTTCTATATTACCACATTCTCCAAGGAGAAATTCGTATGAAAATTTCTCTGAATGATAACCCATTCTTTATACCAATTTATCAGTTCCTATAGAAAATCAGCCCCGGTAAGAGGCTAAGAGTTTCTTATCGTGGAGAAATTTTAGAGATTTATTAAGAAAGCAATGAAAACTAATTCTGACTGACACACCAAGAGCAATGAGTCAAAGATTGGCAGAAAAATCATGAAGAAAGCTTGAGCATGAAAAATAATGTTTTATAAAAAAAATTTCCACTAGTTGATGAAATCGTACATGAAATACCTAAAAACACTTCAGCAAGAAAAAAAAAAAATCACCTTAGCTAAAGCGGTATGTTTCCCAATCAGAGATAAAGAAAAGACAGAGGAGTTGAAAGACGCTTACACTTAAAGTTGGTGTTAAACTGCTGGGACCATTCTCCTCTGGCTCATCTCGCAACTCATCTATTAAAAAAGAGAGGTTAAAAAAATGTCAAGTCATCTCTCTTGAATGAAATCCACCAGACTATACACTCCTGGAATAAATTGTATATACATCCCCAAAGGATGAGAATTTTTTTTGTTCAAAGACAAATTTTCAAGCAAGTAGACAATACATCATTCACTCACTACACACTAGTAGCTAGTTACTAACACTAAGGCATACATAAGAAGCCTCAAAAAAAAAAAAGATAACAAAGAGCATCTTAATTGACCTTACAATCATATCTATCCTGGTGATTAGGGCTTATAATTTAAAGCAACGAGGCAAGTTCAATCAAAACCCTAAATACTCATAGACCAAGGAACCTGAACTACATAGATAATATAAGTTCAATTCAATCAACCCTAAGCCTTATACGAAAGCTATAAAAGAGTGAAGAAGCATAAGAGCAAAGACCTTGATGCTGATCTTCTTCATCTTCTGGAGGTGTGAGAGCAGAGGCTGCTGCACTCGAGAAGAAGTAGGGAAGTATCCTCGTAGCGCCGCTGGAGATAATCCGGTAAGCAGGATCGACGATTCTCGAGATCCACGGCCTCCGTTGTGCCTGGCTCTGAGGGGGTCGAGAATACGGCGTCGTTGAGTGTCTCCTCGCGGTTTGTCGCCTTAATTTGCCACCTGTACCTCTCGCAGCTTCGTTCGTCGCCGCCGCCGCCGCGGAGAACGTCGCGTCTCCTCCAGTGGCCATGATGATGTCTCTCTCTCTCTTTTTTTTTTTTTTTTTTGGTGATTCTTTTTTTTTTTTCTCAATTTTAATCTTTTCTTATAGGGCTCGGGTCATGTGCGTTGTTGACATTTGTTTTCTACTCTCTTTGTCCTTGAAAGTAAATCCAAATAATCCAGAAAAATCAAGTTAATAATTAAAATTTGAAATAAATAATCATAGAATCCACATCTACTACTGAGATAATTGGGAAAATATTTTAAAGTTTTTAAAATACTTGTTTTAAATATTAGTTATGTTTAGCTTTAAAGTAAAATACTAGATATTTTCTTGGCAGAGATAAATCTAAATTAAAATAAAAGTTATTAATATTTTACATTTAAATGTTTCTTAGAAATAATTTAATTTAATAAAAAGAAAATTAAGATGAATAATAATTTGTTCAGTTGTTAACAATGGATACATATATATATTTAAAAATTATAATTTTGGCTAGATTTGTATCTACTTTTTAGTTAAAATATATTAAAGCGAACTGCGTAAAATAAGAAAAAATAATTGTTAGAAATAATATTTATTTAATTATTAAAATATAAATTCAACAGTATTTCAGAAATTTTTAGATATTAAAATTAAACTAATGGTATTAGAGTTGTAAATCTATATGTTTTTCAAAAATTGCACACAATTTTGAAGAAACTATTTCAGTAATAAGAAATTGTTTGATTATCAAAAATTAAATTAAATATTAATTTCAATTTTATAATTATTTTTATTATTTAATATTAATTGAATATATTTAATTTAGTGATGATGTATGAGTACTATTATATTCTAAAATCTTACCAAAAGTATAAAATAACATCAATGGCAAATGTTTATATCACAATTTGGTTTTAGCTGGGATCAATGGTTAGTCTTGCTTGATTATGGCTCTAGAACTCTGCTACCATCCCTACTCTTAATCCCATTTAAGTGAGGCAAGACTTGGTTCGACTTGGTTCGTCGCACCATAGCCATAACACATTGCCACTGGAACTGCCCTTAGTCACCTTCACCCTTGAATCCTATCCGCTTCTGCTTTTCTTGTCATTGCAGCAACGTATAGCACAAGTCACTTATAATTCAGCAGAATCAAAGGCATATAATATGGGATTGGCTTGCTCAAAGGCCATAGCACAAACAAAAACAAGAAATAGCTTTTCCCTTCTTGTAAATCTTGATCAGAGAGCTTTAACAAAATAGGATGAATCACAATCTCTTGCTGAACTTCTAAAGACCCATCTCATTTGCGCCGGCCCTGATGAGTGTTGACCATGTGTTGGACTCTAACAAGAATCAAGATGGATGGTTGGAAGCAAGATAAAGCAGCCAGCTACAACTAGACTTAATGATCTGCACTACATGGTTTTATTCTCTAGTTTCATAGTTTGGGAAAGTGCCGAATAGTACCATAGTCTGAATTTAGTTACATCCATGAAAAGCAAAACTTTTATTTATTACCACAACTGAGACAAATTCTAACACTGAAGCAGAGAATATTGAGAATGATGAGAGTAGAAGATTGGAAGAATTGTATATTGACTCTCATAACACTTAGCTTTATGTTACACATGTTTATATACTACTATGATTTCCTAATCTATGATAAATACAAATATATGAAAATCTAAATAATAACTACATAATATATTTATCATAATTATGATATACTCTGATATCTTCAAGATCCTTCTATACGCTCCCTCAAGCTCAAGGCCGTGGTGAAGTGACAACTGAAGCTAGGCTTGAGATTGACCAAGAATAAATCAAGACTGAGGGAGATCGCAATGATGGCTAGAAGCTTGAGGCTTTTTTTTTTTTCGTTGGTGGGGAAGAGATCTCACAGTGGTGCAGCAGATTCAGTAACTGTGGTAGCGGATACGGAGGAATGTTGCAGTCATGTGTGATGGAGAGACCGGACGACATAAGATTTG